ATTTTCCCGTTTTGGATTCCGATGGCAATTAACGTTTAATTATAGCAATTATGGCAGGAGACGGTATCGTCGATGCGTGCGTAACGATTCGATGTGTCTCGTTTATACCGGATGAAAATTAACCCTTTCGAACTGGATGAAAATGTGAATTACACTGTGGAGAGAGAGAGAGAGAAAGAGAGAGCAATGGTCGCGATATATTTCATCGAGTTTCGCCGATCGAAATCTAACTTCGTTCGATTTGAAGGAACCTGGAGGGTTCACGACGAGTTGAAGGAGGAAAACCGTTCTCGTGGAAAGGTATACATACACATACACTCACACACATAAATATATATTACAGCAGGCGCGCAGAGGTGAAGGAAATAACGATTAACAGGGAATTGCAGTGACGACGGTCGAAACTTGGCGACACGTGTGAACGTTCACGAAAGTGTTATGGATAGGAAGTGGAACGTAGAGAAACTCGGTCACCGTTTACCGAATTGGCCACAGTTATGGTGTACGCAGATGAACACGGAGAATGTGTTCCGTATTGCGTGCAGGTGTGCCTCGCTCTTGTTCTATCGATACGCCATACTCTATGAGATTCCAATGCAAACGTCACTCACATCCATCCACGTAATTTTAACGAGGAAGTTTGAATAACTTTAATCAAAAGGTTCTATTCATTCTACTCGTACTATTTGTGGATTAAACTTTTTGGAAAATTGGGTTCGGTTTCAATAAACCGATTAAAATTATAATCGCGTTAGCCAGGATAGTGTCTCGTGTAAACTCGTTGCAATCTTTTATCACGAATATAATTTAATTACTTCTTTCCACGCACCTCGACTTTTGCATATTCATCCAGCATACCAGCATAAATTCTACCTAATCTTGATTCACGATTTCATCTTTACATGTTCCCCTAAAATTTGAGTTTATATATATAAAGATGCTCTATATAACACAATTATTTATTCCCATTTCCTTTGTTAGACATATTCGATCAAATCATTTCACAATTAATTCTTTACATGTTTCAAAATTTGAGTTTATATATATATAAAGACGCGACTCGTATTTTGTATATTTATGCATGAATTGGACGCTGACTCCATTCCCCTTTTTAAACCATCGTGCGGTACAGCAAATTCGTAGTAATAGAACAAAGCCACGATCCACATCCATATAACACAATTATTTATTCCACTTCCTTTGTTAAACATATTCTTCTACTTGGAATCATATTCTTCAAATCATTTCACAATCAATTCTCTATACGTTCAACAAAGGCCAAATCCACGACTCACATCTATGCAACACAATTATTTATTCCACTTCCTTCGTTCTTCTACATCGATCAAATCATTTCACAATCATATCCCTAATGATAAAAAATTCTTATCTCCCTGATCCCAACCAACAATCCCGATCCGCAACGAAACTATCGGTTCGATCGGTGCTATTGATTGGTCCGCGAACGAGGGCCACGCTAATGCGTCCCTGGAGTTGGCGCTCGAGCCTCGAATCGATGTCTCATCTAGCCTCGTTCATCACGAAAGGGGGTGGTGGAAAAAAACGGATGGGCGACCGGTTTTTAATCGATGCACCCAATTACACCGGCTGCACCCGCGTGTTTCGCAGCTAATTTCTCGTTATCGTCCCACGGATAAAAGCCGTGGACCCGGCGACGATTAACGCGGCGGAATTGCACGGATCGGGGCGGCATCAACCCGTGCAACGGTACAAACTGCGTTTACGCCGCTCGTTTAGGCGGGCTTAAAAGCTTATGATCGTGTTTTCACCGATTTTTCTTCCAAACGTTTTTCAACGCTTCAACGTTTATCTTCCATTAACATATTCCATTCGCGCGAGATAACGCGCCACTAACGCGTGTACCGATATTCGGTTAAAGTGGGGGGAGTTGCGATTATTAATATTTTAACGAAACGGGAAACGTGTATGGTTCGTACGATCGGCTATAATACGCGATTTCGAATGGCCGGCTGGTCACGTTCGAGGTAATCAATTGAGTCTGTTTCCTGCATTTTCAAATCTTCGATTCGATTCGACACGGATGATTTAAATCGAAGTAATTCGTGCAATATGAAATAAATGATTGGATGGTAGCGTTCAAAGGAATCGTACAAAAGAATCGTGTTTGAAATTTGCGTATATTAACGAGTCTATTTATGAAAATTTAGAAAGTCTCTAAGCTGATAATAGTCGAAGTATTATCTATCTATTTTACGTTAATATTTCTTTTGCGAACAATGCATTCTCGTATACTTTAAAAAACTTTAATCGAAACAGCTTTCAAAATATTACGCAATAATACAATAATTTCTAATGTGTCTGACGATAGGCAGGTTTTTTCCTCTTAAACCTTAGACCGTTTCGATCGTTTCACATTTCTCTCTCCTTTTCGCGCAAACATCGTGCGCAACGTGATCGAGTTGCTTTAAAAAAAAAAAGAATAGGAGAATTGGATTAATTTCCATGAGAAATCAAATCCACGGATTTCTATATGGATTTCTCGGTGTAGAAAGCTTTTCAGGCGGATCGGTAGCTTGGGCAAAACTAAAAATATTATTCCGTATATGGTTCTCGTTTTCAAAGGGTTCAAATCGATATAATAATAACAACGGTACGAATTCGCGGCGAAATTGCGCCAACAGAGAGAGAAAGAGAGAAAGAGAAACAGAGTAGAGCTTTATACAGGGTTTTTATTACTCTTGAAATCCCTTTTAACCGTTTGTAATCCACCGTGCAAACGTTGGACGCGAAATTTTTACGGCCAGTTTCACCTGTTTTTCGTCAATAATTAAAGCTCCTTCCTAATCCTTTGCAAACTTTGCCCACCGGCCTAATATCCCGCCTCGAACGTTGCCAAAGAACGAGAAACGCCCGACTTCGGGCATCGACTTCGGGCATCGATATTCCGCCATCAATTATCGAGCAAAAAGCTTCTTCAATTTTCGCCAATCTTTCGATTCGACGAGAAGAAAAAGCTAATGAGCTCGAATCGTTATCAACCGTTGATAACGAACCTCGTCGTCGAGGAAATTTGGAAAACGATCGCCCTCCTCCGCAGACCTTGAAAAATTCCACGATTTTTCTTTTTTCTTTTTTCTCGCTCCCGAGGGTGAAACAACGAACGGTGAAAATCACGCATTGAACGAGCCACTACGTACGATAACAACGAGGGGGAATATCAATTCGTGCGCCGTTCGTCGCGATTCGTTACGCCACGGAATTGCAGGCTCTGCTGCGATTCGAAAAAAAAAAAGAAAAAAACGCCGGGGGAAACACTTTTCGAAAAAGTGGTTGTCAATCAATCGGATCAATCCCCCGAATTCCAAGGGGGAGGAAGCGGAGAGAAGCCGCGAGAGATTATTCGCATCCGGCGTAATTAACGATCGAACCTTGACTTGGCTCGGGCCGCGAGTCGAGTGGCATTGATCAGACTAATCGGATCAACCTCGAAAGATTATTATCGGGATGGAATGATCCGGATCGAGATCCGGAGAATTATCCCTTTCTTTTCTCTCATCAATTTCGCTCTTCGTTACCGATACGCTCGCTCCCTCCTCGCTTTCCTCGTCCAGATTTCACGTTTAAATTGGAAAGATACCTCTCTCGGTGGCAAAAATTTTCACCCTCGTTAACACTCGTCCCCGATCTTTCACTTTTTCCAAAGAATTCTCGAAAAAATCGGTCGAAAAAATGTCCACCGAGAATTCCAATTCCACCGAGAAAACGGAATGGAATCGTTGTTTACGTCATATTGCCCAGATCCTTCCATCCATTTTTTTTCGATTCTTTTCCGCGGCAAATGATGCGTCCCGTTTGTTTACAATCGGTGACGAGGACCGCGAATAAATAACCCGAATAATCAGCACGCAAATTTTCCTGCCTGAAAAAAAGGAGCAGGAATTCGAATTCTCTCTCGTATTTGCCGATCGATCGAACCGGCTCAAACCGACGAAAGAACAACGACGATCGACTGATTACTCTCGACTACTCACCGAAATATTTTTTTCCCTTGGAGTAGTCCCAGGCGATGCATCCTCGACGATAATGCATCCTGCGCGATAAATTATGTAATCACGGCGTGGAGGTTCGGCGTGGGCAGGGGTGGGTTGCATCCAGTGGCGTTGCATTAGCGCGGTGGCGACGATTCATATTCATGGAGCCGGCACGGCTTCAACGCGCGTTAATAACGAGCTCGTGGCAGTGAGTGTGAATCGAAAAGAATGATTGGGCGGGCATTCGAGCGTTCCTCGAGGCCTCCTCCCTCCCCTTCTCCCCCACGACGATCCGACAAAAATCTCGAAATCGAAATCACTTCTCCCGTGGTCACGCGTTGTTAATTAATCGATCGTAACGCGACTTACTTACGCAAATCAGTTTACATTATACCAACGGGGAGGGTGGACGTTTAATATGCAATTTTCATTGGGGCGGTGCCGGCGGATCGTTTAAAACGTAATTTCGTCGAGAGCCGCGGCGTAAATATTCATGTAATTTTGATGCACTCCGTTTAATGGGCCGCGATTAAAAATCATTTAACGGCACAGATTTGCAGGGGCCCCGTCGAGGCCCGATCCGCGGCTCCCCGCAAATCCTGATTTCGAAATAAACATCGAAGACCCGTAATTGCTTCGCGACAACACGCGTATTTCGGTGGCTCGAGAGGGTGGCGCAGCGAAGGGGATGGCGAAAGCGAGAAACAACTTTCGAACTATCCAACTTTCTTCGCTCGCCGATCCGCGAGATCGAGCTTCCAGTGAAATTTCGAACCCGATCTTTGGGTGTTCGTCGAGAAACGGCGCGAGAGAAGAAAGCGGATATTCGTCGTGCGGATGGGAAAAAAAGTTGACTGGCGAGACTTAAATGGCGGAAATGTGAGAGATAAATTGGTAATAAATACGGATTAAGGTTTGAAACGAAATTGGAAAAATGGACGTGCGTGGAGAAGGAATAAGCGAAAGGGAGATGGAGGAAAAATTTACTCGAAACCACGTCGGTCCGATGACAATGAACTTTGCGGGGCGACGCATACACGGGTTGCACGCCTGTGGCGCGAGCGTGGATGCAAAACCGAGCGCCACGATGGAAATTATGTTTGCATAATTTTCAATTTTTCCAACATCCTGCGGCGGAACGGGAGGAGAGGCAGTGGCGTCGCGCCATACGAAGATTCATGCGATTACGAAAAACTAACGGCCGCCACGGTTTGCGCCACGGCCTTTGGGATCGATGATCCGGACGGATCGGTGAAAACTGAAAAATCAACGTGGCCACGCCGAATAATATTATTTCACCCCCTTTTTTCTCTCGTTACTTCATTTATCGTACACGTTCTCTATCGAGCACACACGATTCGGCACATTTTCTGTTCTCACGAGTAAAACGTAGACCCGTAGAAGATCGTGGCGTTCGCGAAAAGTCGAAGGATTACGATTTCTCCGGATGACTTGCGTTAGACAGCGGAAACTATACATATATAGACACGTATATATGGATAGATTCGTTCTAATCACGCAATTCGTTTGATTATATTCACTGAGCAACGGGATAACGATGAAAAACGGCACGTGAACGCCAAGTTTTTCAAACAAATCTCTCGTATCTTTTCATTCTCTTCTCGTTCGTCGAACACTCGATGGCGATGAGAACGCGCGAAGGTGTTGCAGTTCTCCCGACACGTGAACACTGGCGATCCTCGGCTCTCATCGAGCCCTCGAGTATCGTGGCTCGATCCACCCTTCGAGCGCGGATCGAGGGAACGAAGGGCGTCGCGTCGCGAATTGCACTGACTCTCGCAGATTCTCCGTTTCCCGCAGAAGCTTGCAACACCCCCTCCCTCGCCGTTTGGCCTTGCTCGTCGGGGCTTCCACCCCTCTTTCGACAACCACGGCCACCCCCTCTTTTGCCCGCTTTTAGCGCAAGCGCCTCCGCTTTTGTGCACGCTCTACCCTATCCTAATTCATATCCGCGTAAGCACGGTTACGTCCACCGTCCAGGACGACGCGAAATTTCTCGTTTTACCACATCGTCTTGCGGTTTTCACGGATTACGTCGCTCCAGGCTCGACCGCTCGCTCTTTTTTTCATTTCTTTTCTTTTCTCCTCTTTTTTCCTTCCCCTACGCAACACGAAGCGTAAAACGTTCGCGCGACCCCTCTGCCAACTGCAACGATTCCTCTCTTTCTCTCTTTTTCTTCTTTCATTCGTCTCCCGTTCCCCTCACCCTTTCCACAGCCTCGTTCCATCGCTCGCCCGTTTCTTCATGCACCGAATACTTGCGGTCCTTTCCTGGAATTCTTTCTCCTCTCCCAAGAAGAGATTGAGACGCGTACCCACTGAGATCGCTATCCTGAGATCGCGATTTCCACAGGATCGCCCGACCCGCACCGTGATTCGTGATTTTCAAACGATTTTCCACCATCGAAGCCAGGCCATCCAACAATCGTATAATCGTTCGAATTTAAAAGGGATGGATACCCTTCACGTTTTCCAAAAATCCGATCAACGAAGATTCGACCAATTATAATTCGTTGCTCGTTCGAAGCTAACAACGAGAGATGTTCCCGGTGGATAAAAAGCGGAAGTACAAGGATGAGAAATCGGGCCGTTAAATTGAGAAATCGGGCGTGGCATCGTCGAAAGTCTCGTAAACAGCCACGCTAATGAACCATCCTCCCTGGAGCGGTTGTTGCGGCTCGGCTCGAGATTATTTTTCTTTTTCCCGTCGATGGACGAGAGATGCATGATCGAGACATAGGCGAGAAAAGGAATTTTATATATATAGAGCTGCAATATGAATCTGGCCGGAGGCGAGAATGCGAGAATTAAAATTACCCCGGAGAATAATCGCGGCTTGGCCTAGGCCCTCCTCCTATTATTTGCCCGGCCAGAGTAAACAATTTCCCCTTGTTTCGCCCGCGTTTACACGTGTCTCTTCGCCGCGCCGTCTCTCGCTTCCGGCCACTGCTTCCCCTTTTTCCGCATCTACGACAAACCTGTTTATTTGCCGCTCCCCTTTCTTCCTCTCTCTCTCTCTCTCTCTCTCTCTA